AGTGAGTGGCAAGACTCTAACTGGTACCAACATGGCTTTTCCATTGGTCATAGTACTATCAAATACACATCATCAATTTTGCATTTTTTTTACCTACCCTATTTATGGAATTATCACAACTTTTAATTATTTGAATTAGCTAACGATTCATCTAGAGTCCGGGCTTAGTTGAAAGCTAAATTTTGCATTACTTGATGTTCAAGCAACATATTCATGAGGATGAAAAACAAAAAAAATTCAATCTTTGTTAATCGATGCGGAATCCATAACTCTTTATGGTCACCATGAGTTATGCCTTAGAATCTACCTGTTAAGACACATAGGGTTTAGGATTACCTTTGATCACTTGAAAATGTCAAAGTGTATGAAGTTCTCTAACATTGATCCACACGATTGTCTCTTGATCACTTGTGAGAACTTTTTCTCATTGAATCCTCCTTCTACTTGGATGCTTGCTATGCAATGACAAGGTGGATGCTTGCTAGGCAATGACAAGGTGGATGCTTCAAGTGTTTAGGTTTATTTTTCCCGAGACTATGATGGTGTCTTGAGATTAGGAGAGGGGCGCAACAATGGAGGATTGATGAAGATGGAAGGGCGGCCAAGAAAACTAGGGTTCTTGGTCTTGGAGGCTGACCTAATTTCTCATGTGTTTCTATACACTTAGGCGCCAATTTTCATGCTTTGCAATTAGGGTTTTACAATCCTAATTGAACAACACTACTTAGTGCCCGTTTGGATGAGTTTTTGTTTCTAAAAAAGTTGCTTTTTTTTTTAAAAAAAAAGGTCAATTTGAGAAATTTTATATATTTGGATAACAACTTTTTTAAAAAATAAAATTTACAATAAAAGTTAAAATGATGCTTTTTTAGCCAATAATTGGTTGCTTTTAGAAAAATCAGAAATTAAAAGATAATATAAATTTTTAAAATACAAATTTAACCTTATCCTGTGAGCCCATTATCTCTTCCTATCTTATGATCATGCTTTTTTTTTTGTTAGCTAAAACAACCTATCACTTTAGAATCAAATATCTTCCCTCTTTTTTTATTTTCATTACTACGTTTTCTTAAGGTACTATTTTTTTTCCATCTCTCCTCATCCTACAATTGCTATTTTTGGTTCTTCTTTTTTCTTGGTAAAAGGTACAATCCTATGCTTGGTGTTTGGTCCTTGTTTTTTTTTATCTTCTTCCTTCTTTTTTTCAAGCCACAATCACAAAAACAAGAAAATAAACACAGAAACCAAGTCTCACAACAAACAAGAAAATGAATACAACATTGTATCTGTATGCACGTCCATGCATGTAGATTTTGTAATTTAGTATATAAAAAGTGAATACGTTAACGCTCTCCCCCTTAATGTCCTTTTTTGTAATTTTGTATATAAGAGTGCTTTTTTTATTTTAACATCCAAATAATTTTTTATGTAAAAACAATTTTCAGATTATACGTCCAAACGTAAAATAATTTTACCCTTTTATAAAAAGTTAATTTAAAAAAGCAATGCATAAAAAGTTTTTTCTTTAAAAGTCTATCCAAATGGGCTCTTAGGCTCATATCCATTGAGATATTATAGATCTTCTTAGGATATATCTTAATCATAAAGATATCATCATAATTTGCCTTCCAAGAAAGAGCTAGAATTTGAAATTCAAGCCTAATGGATCATATCCATGTAGATTTGATTTAATCATGAGGTCTTGAAGAATCCACAACAAATCTTCTAGCATCTTCATCAAATCCCTTGATTTTGCTACAACAATTTTTTATTTAAATTTATAATTCAAATAAAAAGAATCTTTATCCAATTTTTATTAGATATAGATTTGGATAATTCAAAATTATCCTTAAATAACCTAACCTCTTGGATTTAAATTTAAACTTAAATTTAAATTCAATTTTATCCTAAGTCGTAATTTAAATTCAAAATTTAAAAATTTAAAATTCAAATTTCGAATTGCGTCAAAACTTATTTTGACAAGTCAACTATTTGACTTACTAGGACTCATGGCCCAAGACCCTGTCGGCCTACTAGCACATTTGGGCCTATTAGTGGAGAAATCAATTTCTCACTCAAAGCCCAAATAAAGCGCATGATTAATTGGGCTTGGAGTCCTACTCCAATCCAATTACACGTATAGCCTTGAAAAAGTTCAATGACAATTATTGGCCTAAACTTGCTAGATATAAACAATTAAGAACAACCTTTGTGTGTGACCCATTAGGCTCAATCAGTCACTGACATAAATAAACTTAAACCAATTAAACTCATTTAATGGGCTCAATTTATTTAATGACCACATAAGACACTACCAAAGCTCTGCAGCCCAAAAACTAACTGAGTTTATCAAATGATCTACCTTTCTAATTCGGATACCGTGCCGACATCATCCCTCACATCGTCATTCACATTTAGTCGAGAACAAGGATATAGTATCATCTCTCTTGGTTGACTAAATATAGCTTTTTCACATAACTAAGAATCTTCTTCTATAAACTCTAAGGCAGATACATGACTTTTCATGATCCCTTACTATGCACAACTTCTCAAGTCTAATAGAAGTCATCCAAGCCCTACCGATTTTGTTAACGACCAATCCCTTGTAGGAGATTGTGAGTCCTTTCGGATGTCCATCTATACTAATGTATTCGAGTTATACCCAAGAGTACACCGTTCTTCCCATTTTCAGGAAAATAGAGTTGTACAGTCAAAGTATAACCCTAGAACATAGTGTTCGATAACATCCTCAAGTCTAGGACGATCTGCACCAAACGATGAGACATGACAAATCCAATGATAGCTCTCTATAATGAATTCTTATGGAGTCTCTCAGCAGGTCAGTTTAGTGCCATATGTTCTCCAACAAATGCACCCATGACATTAGCTAGGACATCACCATGCCTGCATTCCATGAGGTCCCTACCTTATATCTTTATACAAGTAGATGATGTTGTACTAGTTAGTCCATCCCTCAAAAATATTTATAATAGTTAATATCTCCTATTATTTTTAATAATATCTATAGTTTTAAAATTTTACTTTTCACCCCTATTATAAAAAATTGTGGGTTCGCCATCAAACGCATGTTTTCTCCCTATTATACTGAATCTTGCATTTATATACGTATAAAAACACACGTCTTGCGATTGTATATTTTTACATCGGTTAGGAATATATTTATTCAGTCTTGTTGCATTTTATTATTTGAAATATTTTTTTAGAGAAAACTTCATTTTCACCCATTGTGATTTTGTGATTTATCATTTGACCTTCCATGATTTTAAATTTATCACTTAGATCCACTGTGCCGAAATAATTTATCATTTAACCCCCTATAGTTTCAAATTTTCACTTAAACCCCTTGTGGTTTAAAAAATAAACATTTTAAAAACATATTTAAAATAAATTTTCTCTCTTTTTTATTTTATATCCTCATGTAATGCATTTAGGGTTTGAAAAATATTTTAATTTATTTATTCTGAAATTAGTTTATAAATTGTCTTAATTTTTTATTTTAAAAATATATTTGAAATTAAAAAGATTATTTAAGATGAAATTAAAAAAATATTATTTATGATAAATTAAATATGTACTATCAAAATAAGATATTTACTTTCTTCAAATAGATAAAATAAAAATATTTGATTTGAATTTATTTTCTTGATAAAAATAAGTTAATTTGTTTAGAATTTATTTTTAAACCTTAAATGCATTAGGTGAGGATATAAAATAAAAAGTAGGGAAAATTTATTTTCCTCTTATTTATTTTTTATAATTTTTATTTTTAAACCACAAGGGGTCTAAGTGAAAATATTTTTAACCACAAGGAGTCTAAGTGAAAATATGAAATCATGGGGGGTTAAATTAATGATAAATTATTTAAGCACAACGAGTCTAAGTGATAAGTTTAAAACTATGAGGGGTCAAATGATAAATTACAAAACCACAATTGGTGAAAATGAAGTTTACCCTATTTTTTATAAGTAGCCTTGTACATAATTAAAGAACACTTTTATCTTATTATATATCATATTTATTAATGAGTTTGATATTTCTCATATTGTAAGAGATAAATTTATCTCCTACATATACGTAAAAACATGTGGAGCTCATAATTTCTTTTTTTCTATCTTCTCTTCATATGAGCTTCACATATTTTTATGTGTATGTAGAAAATATTTTATCTCATACAACATAAGAAAAACTGAACCTTTTATTAATCGGATGTCTTTATATTAATATTCAGGCCAATAGAATTGTTTGTTTCTTAAGAAATGAAAAACTCGTGCAAGGATTGAGGAATAAATTTAATTTTTAGTTGTTACGAATAATTATGTGATCTTGTGAGTTTGAAATTTACAGCGGAACAATAAAATGCAATTAAGTCAGTAACGATTTTCAAATTTGCATAGAGATGGCGATCAAAGGTTTTGTGCAACTTGTTTGTCTTGTTTCCACGTTTATGATGCCAACCAAGACAAGAGTACTTTTTTTAAAACTGCTTGAACCTGCACAATAACAGAAATGAGCCGGTCACGTTTGCATTCGCGCCATTCTGAATGAAAGAAATAGTAGCAGCAACTCTCTTTTCCATTATACGTAGTGCTCCAATGATTAAGCATGCATGAGAGTTGTAAACCAAAGGATTGCTTCTATATTGCATTTCTTGTTAATTTCTTCACCCTAAGATAAACGTGAAACAAATAGAACATGCTGTTATATATGTTACTTATGACAATAAAACTAGGCCATTCCATGAGTCCAGGACGCCAATGCTTCCTTCCACAATTATCCACATGATTAACATGTCCTAAGCTACCTTATTAATCTCCACATTTTAATTAAATCACCTTCCCCATAATTTTCCATATAAATTAATGATAAAACCGGAAATCATATCCAACAGAAAAAAAAAAACAAAAAGAAGCAATTATATCCCATAGCCATAATTTTCTCTCTGAAAACAAAACATGTCCAACTCATCTTTGAAACAAAACATGTCAACCCTTCCTGCAGCAGTTCAAGACCGTGGTTCAGACCATCCTGTTCACAAGACCCTGGCGAGTGCAGCCAACCTTGCTAATCTTCTACCCACTAGCACTGTCCTTGCATTTAATGCTCTCATCCCTCCCTTTTCCAACAATGGGAGCTGCGAACTTTCCAACAAGTTCCTTACTTCATTGGTTATTTTTATTAGTGCTATTATTTGCTTCTTGTCTTCCTTCACTGATAGCTTCATTAGTAGTGATGGGAAGCTATACCATGGGATCGCTACATTCAATGGTTTATACGTCTTCAACTACAGTAATGACGAGGAAACCAAGGAACTATGCAAGTTTAGAATACGTGTGATAGACTTTGTTCATGCCTTTTTGTCACTTTTATTGTTCTTAGTCTTTGCCGTCAGCAACTCAAACGTGCAAAATTGTTTGATTCCCAACGAGGGAACTAATGAACGTGCATTGATCATGAACTTGCCATTGGGAGCGGGGATTTTATCAAGCTTCTTATTCGCTTACTTTCCAACCACACGAAGAGGGATAGGATATGCAGACATGCCAAGTTCATGATGACACACAATACATGCAGTACACTAGCCTTTTCAGGAAAAAGGCATGCAACATCTGTGAATAAAAACTCGATTAATTAGCATTAATATGTAGTTTAGCGTGGCTTGAAAGTAATAAGTTAAAGTAATGAAAAACTAGTTTGGTTAATTGGTGGTGCCTTCAAAATATTTGTTATACAAATTATTTGATTAAATTATTTATCGTCGTTAATTAGTTGTAATTATGCGATATGTTTTGATAATTTGTTTTGTATTTTTTGTACTTTTGAGTGTTTGAAAGTAAAAACTAAAGCATCAATCTGGCTCTCACCCAGATTTTCATGGAAGAGATCTGTTTGAATCATCTAGTAATTAAGGATGTATTTTATAAATAATTAATTTGCTTCCTTTTAAAAAAATAAAAAATAAAAGTAGTTTTACTTAAAAAGTAACTAAATGAATTAGTGTCTTTTATAAATTTTACACCGCTAAATAGAATAAAAAGAAAAGTCTACATATTTAAACATACTAATTTAATTTTATATTTTAGTACGTACAACGCACATATCAAAATGGCTAATTTATTAATATAATTGCACCGAATGATTTGTTTATTTAGAATTTTTTTCTATATTATTTGCCGTTAATGTAAAAATAACATTATCATACTTTTTTTGGTTTGGATAAGTGAACTGTTAATATACTAATTAATGCATGGGAAGATTTTTTTGGATGTCTAAAAATTTGCGTATTTGGATAGAGATGATCTAAAAAGTCTATCGTTTACGATATCTCTTGGGAAACAAAACGAATAGATGACTCTGTAACCTTATGCCAAAAAACAATTAACCAGATAATTGAAAACCATAAACAAAAAAAAATGAAGAAAATACACCACTTATTATTATGTGTGATGAGTAAATACCTCAAAAAAGAAAAGTGAGGATGAGGATGTGCCTTGAAAATGAGGAAGAAAAAAAAGCAATGTGCCAATTTGGGAGAAATAATAGGGCATCTCAGTGGGACCCGGCACCGTTTGCTAATTGCTAAGTTTGCTCTATCACTACAGCTCATGCTTCATATAATTATTTTCACCCTTTCACTCTCTTCACCATAATCCACTTTCTCTCTCTATCTTTGGGGGTGGGGTTATCTTATTAATACCCTCACCCACTTCCCCCCATCACCCCGCTTAGCTTTTTTTCAATATCTACAATCCCACAACACAACAACACACTCTCCTCAATAACCATAAGATCGATCAGTTTAATTTGCAACATGTGGTGATAATGATGAATTTCTCTCTGTATTTTCCTATTCTTCTCTCACTTTCTCTCTCTTTCCTTCTCCATGCCTTCAAGAAGCACATTCACTATTTCTTTGGTCTTGCCACCGCCTTCAAATCTGCAAATAATAATGCAACCGACAACTACGAGATCCATCTAAAATGCAACCATCGTGTTCTGGACTCATCGACGGAGGCGAATCCTGCTCCTCCTCGTCCTCCTCCGCCATCAACGATCGGATTCGTCGATGATATCGGTGGCGGTGAGATCGACGTGTCTTGCACCGAGAGTCTCGGATTCGAGAGCATTGATGAGAGGCGAGTCGATTATCAAATAGATGATGATAATGATAATGATAATGATAATGATGATGATGATGATAAGGATGAGGATGAAGATGAATGTTGGAGGATGACGAGAGCGGCGGAGGGAAGAGGAAATTGGAGGAAGGTGAAGAGTTTTCCGCCGCCGCTTTCGTCGTTGGACGGTAACGGCAAACGGAGCTTCAGTCTGGTAGCGGTGAGGAAGAATGGAAGGTTACAACTGAACATAGTAAGAATAAAGAGACCAGAAATTATGTATGCTTCTCGAGAAGATGGACGGTTGAGATTGTATCTGGTTCCAGATCTAGATGGTGCAGAAGAAGAGGAATACGAAGAGGAAGAAGAAGAAGAAGAGATCGTAGAAGAAGACGTAACGGAAAAAACGGAGGAAGAAATAATAGTAGAATCAGAATCAGAAGAGGAGGACGAAATGGTTGAAGAGATAATTAGGAATGAGCAACAAGATACGGTTGGAGAATGGAAGTTTCCGATTGGGGGTAACGAAGGATTTAGGAGGTGTCACCAAGTGGTGAATCAAATTCACCACCATCATGTTATTCATAGCAGCCATCATCACCACCACCACCTACGTATGTATGGAATCGGCATTGCATGACATCATGTTCAAGGAATATGAATATTTGTCACTAGAAATTTAATTGTGCCTCCTCCATATGTTTGCGTTGAGCGTGAACTATTATTACACTGCTAAAAATTTTCACAACTACAGAGCAGACACAGGTTATGGTTGCACCTTAAGTGTACATAAGGAGAAAAGAAGGATTAGTGTTGATTAGACTAATATTCTTTTTTTTGTTTTACAAAATTATGTATACATTAGCAGCTACTGTACTCTGGGGTTGGGTGAATGTAGCCTTTCATCTTCGTTTAGACCTATCCAAATGGTACTGTACAATTAACAGGTACTGTACTCTATGGGGTTGGGTTAATTTAACCTTTCATGTCCATTTAGACCTATGACAATTCGAAGTTGTGTATAAGATCGAATTCATTCGAATTTGATTTTTCTAATTCTTCGATGATTCCTTCATTAGTGGTTGTGAATTATCGATTTTTCTCAATTTTTAGAGAAGAAATGTAGTGCTCCTGGTCCATAAAATTTGGGGTGCTCCTTCTATCAAAACGAGGGGGGCAAAATGGGAAAAGAAATGAGAGGGGTAAAAATGGAAGAAAAAATTCACTCATGTGAGAGGGACCACCAAATAATAAAATGGACCTGGATCACTTAATTATTTTTACAATTTTTATGACTTGCTCTTGTGAACGGATCGAGGCCGAAAAGATAAAAAAAAAAAAAAAAAAAAAAAACCATTCTGATTTGATTCGTAAGTTTATCAACAGTCACGAGAAAATTATTTAAGGGTGATCATTTTGTTGACAACTGCTCTTATTATACTCGGTCTTTCAATTATGAAAATTATTTATGTAACATTTTCATTGACAATTCAAGTATTGTATGCATTGTTAGTGCGATAGTTTGCATAATTATATATGTATGGTTTTAATTTCTGATGTGTATGAAAAAAAATTTGTTAGTAAAAGTAAAATCTATTTTGATAATCTTTACGTCTCGAAAAATTTAGTCTCTCACTGTTAGTTGGGGGATACACGAGGAAACTCAAAAGATAGCAAACTTACAAAATGATTATGTTTCTGGTATACGAATTTATTCGTCTGCTTCGCCTTATTTATTATTTGAATAAATACAGTTATTTCTTGATCTTATTAAAAATATCATTTCTCATACTTATCCAAACGTTGAATCCAATTAGTTTAAGAGATTAATGTTTTCTTATGTTATAAGAGATAATTTTATCTTTTATATATAAAAGAATGTATGAGCTTCATGTGGGGCCATATAAAGAGGAGAGAGAAATAAAAAACATGAGTCACGTACATTTTTATACGTGTGTAAGAGATACAATTATTTTCTATAATATAAAAAATATTAACCAGCTTGAACCCATGCCTACAATTATTAAGATAACTATTTCTTGAAGGTGAACTATATAGCCAATATCATGGTAGTTAAAATCTCGATTTATTATTACAATTTTATGATTTCTTTTATCCAAACATTTTCACCAATATTCCAAGTGCTTTTACGTTATTACAATTTTTGTTACCTTATGATTTACGTTTTATAATTTTTTATCTCCCTTATGATTTTACGTAAAATTTCATTTTTAACTATTTTGGCCAAGATAACTCATAAAACAGAATAGAAGAGGTTGTTTAACTCATGATTAAATATTTTGTAATATTCTCACTAGACTCAGGGCCATGTTAGGTGTGTGGGGCCTTGACCCTAGTTAAAATTTAAATATTAATCACATTTTCAACGTGGCTAAATAATCTTTCACATTTTTATAGTTGTTATGAGCTAAATTTTTCTCAACCCTAGTTATCTTGATAGACTCGCTCGGCAATTGACTAAACTGTATATTCTTTTTGGACTATCTAGGTAGGAGATAGAGTATAAACTTAAACATTCGAAAGCTACGAACATAATTATTACGGATTTATAATCATTTCCTACGAAGCACCGACACTTCAAAATTTTTGACGTGTCGTGTCCGACACTCTTCGTCACTACGACACTCCCCGACACTCTAACACGCGTTATAGAAATTCAAAAAGAGATTCAAATGTTGCGTTGCGATGAGTTTTTAGTTCCAACTATTAGATTCGTTGGATTACGATTACTATTTTATTAAGTTTAATATAAATATTTGGGATATATTATGTTTATTTGCAAAATTGATGAAGATTATAAGTTTAGTTTTATTTTTTTGTTAAGTTATTGAACATTAAATATAATATACACTATATAAATTAAAAATATTATTTAATATTAAACGTGTCCTAACGTGTCGAAATCTAATATTTTTTAGAATTATCGTATCGCAGTGTCGTGTCGTATCGTGTCACGTGTCCCGTGTCGGTATCGGTGCTACATAGATCATTTCTATACCATCAATATATTTACCTATAAAAAAAAAAATCAGAGTTGAACATATTAAAAATAATAAGTTAAAAGATTTTGTTGAATGGAATCCTATATAAATCAAGGGTTTTATAAGAGTTATGTTGTAGAAAAAGTGAATGTGTAATGTTATAGAGATTTGTTTTGTGTGCCTTAATTTTTATTTTTATTTTTGCTTTAAAAAGTGTGGGCCCCACGAAATGTTGTGTGTAGGTAAATTTTTGGTGTCATGTGACATGATAGATGCAAATCCCATAATCAATTAATAAAAGAGAAAAATATCTATCCTTTTAAGAGATATAAACTTATATCATTTTAGATCTTAACCGTTGATTTCCGTCCATCAACAGTTATAATCTATTGGGTCAAACTTGATGGGCCAAATTTATTATTAATTAATTAATAATTTTGATCCAATAAATTATAACCGTTGATGGACAGAAATCAACGGTTAGGATCTAAAATGATACAAGCTTATATCATTTAAAATGACAGATGTTATTCCCTTAATAAAATAATAGAAATCTCTTTTTATGGTATCCCTTACAAAATCTTGAACTCGAAAATTAAAAATATACATAAATTTTTTTTAAAAAATAATGTAAGAAAGATGAATATAATTATTTCGTTATACATTTGAATTTTTTTTTATTTTTTTTAAAGATTCTAAAAACGTCGACAGCAGGGTTCGAACCTGCGCGGGCGAAGCCCAACAGATTTCAAGTCTGTCTCCTGAACCACTCGGACATATCGACTTGTTGACCTCTTATCCCCATTTAATTTACTATATAATATATTGTATCAAACTTGATCACTATAAAAAAGATGCAATATACTCTTGTCGATTTTCCTTTTTATTTTTTATTTTTTATTTGCACACATAAATCATTGTCCAAAAAATTATAAACGATAAATAAAATAAATTTTAGATGTAAGAATAATTCAATTCAGAGAGTGGCAGAATTCTAGAATAGACAGTCCTTTGAAAATTGGAAAAAAAAAAACTCAAATATTCAAAGATCAATCGTGGCAATGGAATCCAGTTGACATTATACCCACCATTATTCAACGATGGAATTAGTTGTACACACGTTTACGCTTTGCAGCTGGTGTTGTTGCTGCATTTTGACCAGAGTTGGTGCCGTTTCTCAAATCCTCTTCAAAAACAAACCAAAGGTAACGAAAGATGAAAATGAAACAAAAAATCCTAATAGAATAAGAAGAAAAAGAAAGCGAGAAAGAGAGAAAAAAATAATGGTTATGATGCTTCCAAAGAGAATAATACTAATGCGGCATGGTGAGTCACAAGGAAATTTGGACACGTCAGCATACACAACCACACCAGATCACAGCATTCAGTTGACCTCAAATGGCATCGCCCAGGCCCGCCACGCCGGCGTCAACCTCCGCCGCGTCATGGCCGCCGGCGAATGCTCCCCCGATTGGCGTGTCTACTTCTACGTCTCCCCCTACGCCCGCACCCGATCCACCCTCCGCGAGGTTGGTCGATCCTTCTCCAAGAAGAGAATAATCGGCGTTAGAGAAGAGTCGCGGATTCGCGAACAAGACTTCGGGAACTTTCAGGTTAAAGAGAGAATGAAGATCATCAAGCAACAACGCGAACGCTTCGGCAGGTTCTTCTATCGCTTCCCCGAAGGCGAATCTGCCGCCGATGTTTACGATCGCGTTTCAAGTAAACCCTAACCCTAACCGTCTTCTTTTTTGTTGTGTTTTGATTACTGTTATTGTACATTAGGTTAATTTGAGTAAGTATATAATTAATTTTCAGGTTTCTTTGAATCTCTGTGGAGGGATATAGACATGAATAGGCTACATCATGATCCTTCCAATGATCTGAATCTTGTGATTGTGTCTCATGGATTGACATCACGTATTTTCCTCATGAAGTGGTTCAAGTGGACGGCTGAACAGTTTGAGCACCTGAACAATCTTGGAAACTGTGAGTTCCGTGTTATGCAGCTGGGAAGTGGTGGGGAATATAGCTTAGCGGTTCATCATACAGAGGAAGAGATGCTAGAATGGGGTTTGTCTCCTGATATGGTAGCTGACCAAAAATGGCGTGCCACTGCAAGCAGGGGTGCTTGGAATGATAAATGCTCATGGTACCTTGATGGTTTTTTTGATCATCTTGGTGACTCTGATGATGATGACATTGTGGAAAATGAAGGTGAAACTAATTCTTTGACTGTATGTGCATAGTTAGGGATTCTTTTTGAACAGTCCATAGTAGTTTGATTTCTGTTTTTAATGTTAAAAGAAGAAATTTCAATAGAAACAAAAATGGGAAAGTTAAGGGGAAGGAGGAGGAATATAGATAATACGTTGTCAGTTGCCAATTTCAAGTTCTAATGGCCTCATTCATTCATTGACATAAATTTGTCCATTTGGAAGTTCGAATAGTTAACCTTGATTACAGTTATACTAAGCAATTTTATACTTTTTTTAGGGAACGGTTGTTTTTGTATAATTATATTCACGCCTCTTGTGTGTTATTCATTATGATAGCAGAGCCTGCGTAATCATTTTTTTTCCAGAACGATTGGTGATGTTCGATTCTGTACTCAGTATGTACATATCTTGTTTGGTTTCAACTTTCAACAATGTTTGTGTCAAAAAATAATGTGATATTTTCATTACATTTTTATGGTTTTTCTCCTTGTAAAATTTTGGAGACAGAAGCAGAAAAGGAGGATGGGGCAAATTTTTTTGTGGTTTAGTGTCAGCTATTTTGCAATTTGTGAATTCTTTCTATTGAGTATGCGGACACGAAGGATACCACAGGACCATTTAAGATGGACTTTTCGGACATATAACATCTAGACCTTTTAAAGATAGCGCAATTGATTTCCGTTGTGAGAACTCACTGGTTCCCTTTTTGTTTTCACCTCACAAATTTGGATCTTTCTTATTGAGTTTTATTTTTAATAGGACAGCTTATTCTAGAGACATAAAACACAGATTTTGCGCATGGCAAAATTTATGGTGCACAATGCATAGTTTTTTTTTTTTTTTAAATCCATATCTTCATTTGAATTATATCGCATCCTTTTGTGACACTCAGTTGAGAGAAGACGCGTGCATTTAATAAAATACCGATTGCTTTAGAATTTAAGTTTCTTTTGATCAAGTCTCCAAAACAGAGAAAGGATAGACAGATATAAGTCTACAAAATAAAATGAAGAAAGAGGCGAATTGGGGAATTTTCAATGCACAAAGAAACTGTAATGCCACGACATTCACGTTGGGCTGCGGTCTGCTGTTTCATAAAATATATTATTTTTATTTTTGGTTAACCATAAAATATATTAGTAACACTAACATTAGTACAACCGAAACCCGAAATTAACAAATTGAATTGGATTGGTCATAGCGTTCAGAACCCACTTTCAGAATTGATCGCAGAGGCTTCGGTTCTTCTTGTTCTTGATCCAGAGAACTTGATTTTTGGAAGGACCTGCTCTTCTTTTTCTTCTTACTTGGTAAAATCTCCTCCACGTTATCATTTATGCTTACCGTTTTCTTTAGAGATTTCGCTTTTGGTAAACTTGCCGTTGGCAATGACGGTGTCATATTCACTCCCACCATCTCATCAACTTTCAAGCATGGATTATTCTTCTCTTCAGCCTGCTGTGCAGGAGAAGAAATAGGGTCACCTAAGAGACCTTGAGTTGGTGGGAACTCCTTGTCATTATCAGCTTGACATGGTGTCTCTGACCGAATCGCATTGTCTGCTTTAGAGTCAGAACCTCTTAGTTTAGTTGAGCTTGAAGTATAACGTGTACAACGCCCTAAAGTCACTGTCTTCAACGCTTGCGAAGCCAGTGTTTTCGTGATGAAATGATAGAGCCTGTAGCAGATGCCCCGAGGTTTAATATGGAGTTCTCTTTGATCCATATGGTGTGTTAATGGGTAGGGCGCAAGAAGATATTGATTGATTAACCCCACTGTGTGCTAAGAATATAGAAGTTTGAATTAGGACGTAGATATTGAAACTCTTTGGAAGATATTCTTTGCTTTTCTTAGAAGGGATGTTAAACCAAAAAGTTTAGACCCTTTATAAAGTTGCTTTTAAATCTGAAAGTACAAAGCAAGAATATAAGAAGCCATTGCTTAAGACTATCCGCATCTCCCATACTGTGATTATGTTTATTGCGTGGCAAGAGCACACTTGTGCAGTGCAATGAATCAGCGCTAATATAGAAATAAAATTTTAAGCTTGTTTCAGTGAATCTTCCCATATTATCAACAGAGTTGTCAAATTAATACGGAATTGTTAATCTATTTTTGATGATGAATAGTGTGTTTGGAAGAATAGAATCCCATAGCCCATTCCTCCACGTTTACTTTTTTTATTAATTACGCTGATATTAGCGTATTCCTTTACCGCACGGTTTCTTTTGTTCTTTTATTTTCCAGCTTCCCCCCAAAGAAAGTGACTGATAAGGAGAACAAAAGAAGAAAAAAGAAAATCTCCCTAAATGGAATTCATTCAAAGAACAAAATTTGGATAGTTTACACTTATATTTGATTTTATTCCCCAACAAACTCCCCTAACATGAGCTTGTCTTTAGAGTACGAAAGAATAAGGATTTCAGCGACAAATCAAATATAAGAAATTCAGCTCAACAGTTATAAGTTACTACATAGGATCAGCTAGAGAACTTTCACAAACTTTGATCTCTTACTTTAAGGAGAAAGCTATGCTGCTTTTGGTGATATCCGTCCACACAGACGCCAGCAAGCTCCAGGGTGAAACATAGATTTCTCAAATACCCATATATCACGGACAAGAACCTGAAAAACATAGGAAACCAGCAATCGGTGCGAAGAGAAGGAGGCCTTTACCAAAATAAAGAGCAATGCACTGAACTTGGAGTAAACAATTGATATTGGCGGTCAAAAATTCAAAAGGATGCGTCCTAAAAAATGTATGAAGTTCCCTCTGATATGCAGCTTGCCATTTCATAGAAAATGAATGAGTACCCTGCTTCTATATAATTCATGCCACATAAAATTAAATATAAAATGTTCCCTTCTATCCGACCAATGTGCAAGAAAATAAAAGCCAATGACGAAAGCACTGACTATCTTTGCCTTGATGGTATAATGCATTTTTGCAATTGACAGAATGACAAGGGGAATGAATATCCAGGAACACCACAAGAATGGAAGAAAAGAAATTTACTATCATTACCTCCTTGTTTTTATCTCCAGCTACAACAGAACCTTTAGCGTCATATGCTTCAAATTTCTGGAAGTAATATAACATTAATTCACCGCTCTAAGTTCTTGAAATTCCTTTAGTCATGAAACCATGGGTACAAATTTCTGCGATAAGACTAATTCTAATGTATGTAAAGCATACCTGTTTAGCCAAAAACTCAAGAGTAAGCTGAATAAATGCTTTATTTAGGTTGTTTCTATCAACGCCAATCTGTAAATGAAGAAATCAGAAAAATCATTTTATAGAAAAAAAAGATACTAATTTCACAATGTGGGCGCCTGTTTGTCTGTGAGAGTGATGAGTACAATTCAGCATCATGTATAATCTGCTCTTCTGCATAGCACTAGTAGGTTAAAAAGGACATGCATACCAATAGGACCCGGTCAATTTGTATTTATAGAATTGTCATCATGATTAAAGCAAGAAAATACCAATAATATAGATACACAATGCTGTTAAAATATTTAATCCCAGAAAAGGTCTCTGCGGCAGAAAATTTGAAAAAAATCTTCAAAATTAAGTTTTTGCTTATGGTGCTTGGGAGACATAACCCTGGGGAGATGCCCAGGGAATACATTAGAAAGTTGCCCAGAAACCAAAGGGATCAACTTCAAAGTTTTCATCGTAAAATGTTCAGAACACCTCCAAAACACATCCTATCAAGCAAATAATACTTGAACCAATTGGACCAGATTTTGATCAATGATGCCTCACCATTAGCAAGCTAACCCAATGCCAGTAAAGGCAGATGTTCTTTCTCTTATTTCAGATTCATGTTACATTTTGAGTTGCCACATCATCTTGACCAAAATTTAATAAAAACAGTAAAAAAGAATACTAACCAGACGAGCACGCAAAGTTCGTATCTTATCAACAGGCTCAACCAATTCCCAATAAACCTTGCTCCATGCAGTTTCTCGCTGTTTAATTTCATTCTTAAGTGCCTATGGACAAGAAAATGAAATACAGCATCTCAGAAATTCAACTGTACGCTCTTAGAAATTAATGCAAAAATGTACGGAGCTGCATCATAAGCTCATATAATACACTAAATAAGATCACAAAAAGGAAGTGAAGCATACAGAAAACATCTTCTCAGTAACGACTTTCCTTAATGACTTTTTGTCACCATTAGCTATTAGAGTGTTTATCTGGAGAAAAAGAAAAGAAACTTCAGCATTGAGCCAAAAGAAGATATGCCAAGTGAAATCATGGAGCTAAAGAAAAACAAAATAGAATAAAATGCATATTACAAGTCAAAAAGAAGGAAATTGCCAAGAACTAATGATGATAAATTGTCCTAACTGATAAAACTTCAAGGCAGTTTTCTCAAATTTATTCTCCTCAATGCTATAGCTCCCAAGTAACTATATCACTCTGAAATGGCCTTTCTTCAATGTCTTACTTCTTTCCAACAATACACTCTCCTAATCTATTAAATGATATCAATCTTGCAGCTATGTTCTGTCAAAGGAACTGCATGCAGCAAATCCTAGTACTCACAAGGCACGGCAGCAGTGCAGAGCCAAAAAATAGATTAAGTATATTTGTTTCTTAAATAGGCAACCAAATGCCATTGATATATCTGCTTCATCAAGCTGATAATCTGTCCAATTACACTGGTGGATGACAGATGTGAAATTAAGTACTAAAGGATTTCATAATCACATCATCACAATATAACAATAAATCAACAATCAAAGGAGATTTCAAGTTTAATGACTGCATCTTTTAAGCCAAATATTTATCATTTATTATTTATACAAATTATTTTTCCCCAGTATAAAAAAGGGCGAGCCTACAACAGTGGTTTCTGAGAGAAAGGTCATAGGTTCGACTCTGAGAAACAATATCTTTGCAAATATGCACAGGTAAGCCTGCATACAAGAATTGTCCTCACCCCGCTCTCGCTAGTTGGTGTTTAATGGGGAGTGGTTTTATTCTTCCCTAGTGTAAGATTAAATTTTGATTCCTCTAGTTTTGAACAAGTTAGATTCTGGTCCCCTAGTTCTGATTCCAATGATGTTGTCCTCTTTGGTTTTCAAATTGATGCAAAGTACACCCGTAATGGCACTCTTGTTGATTAGGAACTGTACCGCAACCTTTACATGTCAGCAAAGAAACCAGCAAACGAGAGCCAAAAAGTACAGATGTTAGCATGCCAGCCAGTTTTGCGAATGTTACACTATCTTCGATGATCTAGAAATGATGTGGCACTTGGAGGACTAAATTTACTTATTTTTAAATCAATTTGAATTTTGAACAACATGAAGGCGACATTGTTGAAACTCGAAATGGGGGGACCAAAATAGAACTTGTTTGAAGCCACTAACATCAAATGGCAGAATGAGTCATAAGACAGAACACAATGGCGTTATTTGATTCATGTACCCGATTCTAACTAGTGGGATAAGGCTTTTGTTTTTGTTGTTTGTTGTTGGCAGAATGAGTAAAAGAAATAAAACCTTAGTAAAGGCTGCAAAATATAACAGGTACCTACCTCCTTGTACATGTTGACAGCCTCGTTGTAAAAATGACTTTTCGAATATCCTGATTTTCTTAATTTTGCAATGGCATAGGCATTTTTGAGCTGCGGCAGAGCAAAAAACAATGTTAGATTAAGGTGATTGATAACATCCATTAATAGAAATGGTAAATGTCTGCTGTCCAGGATTCAATACTTTCAGTGTCTTTCATTTTCTTTTTCTTTTCTTTTTTCTCATAATAGGAGAACATTTAGTAGAATGAAAGGGAAGAACGAACATAAGAGAGTGGAGAAGAAATCTGATACGGACCCATATAGCTGAAATAGGGCCCAAGCCCAAGCAGGTCTAGTTGTTGAATCAGATAGCTGAGAGTTTGTTAGGAGGGGAAGGATCTGGAAGGGATGTGCAACAGAAAACGGTTAAGGAGGAAGAGGCGGGAAAGTTAGTGGAATAAAAAGGGAAGGCATGGGAAGCATGAGGAATCATCTTGGATCTGAAATAGGCTTGGAACTTGGGAGAGTCTAGGGCCTCTCGAATTGCTCTAGAACTATCTTTCCTTTCTGCATTTACTTCTTTTCTTTGTTGTAATTGAGTCCCTGTGTTATTGTTCTTCCATTGCTGTCATTGTAATTAGGATTACTTGTCTCTGTTATTGTTTTTGTAATTAGTTTCAATATATGTTTCGGGAGTTGTTTCTGTAAATGAATTACTGGTCTATCCTCCTTCAAAGAAAGCAGCAATGTGCCCTAATTCTTCAAGATTAGGGTAAAAAAGTGATGGAATGGGAAAGAATAATTGGGATCACCAGAAATTATTACATAAAAATAGTTAGGCTCCAAAATGGGGAAATAATGCAAACAGAAATTCACATGAGTGATATGCATCATCACCTCCAGAATCATGTCGTTTTTGGTTCTTCTCCAACCACTTTTAGTGAACCATCTGATATATCAAACATCAGAGAGATACTATTATAGAAAATTTAATGATGCATAATGTAATAGTTTATAAGGAAATGTAATGCTATACAAGTTTTAAAGGCACATCAATTTAGTGAAAGAAAATAGCTACAAAAAGATGTAAATAAATCTAACAGATGCAGCATTATTGATACTCTTTTCAAGTAAAATTAAATCCACAAAAAGCGAAGCAAATTCAAATTTTAGAAAGAAAAAAAAAGAAACATATATATTGTGGACTCAACCGCAAGATCTTGCTATGTTTTTTCTTTAGAAAAAGGAAAGTATAACAGAGATCAGAAGTCGAGTATAATGCTATGGAGATCTAACCTCTTCCAAAATGGGATTTTCTCACGAGGTTCATAAGGTTCATAGATAAATCCAGGACTTGATAAGGATATTTGTGCTCCCTGCATCAATGATACGTCAGCAAAGCACCAAAATTATTACCTGATACTGCACATTAGAAGATCACAGACAGCTACCATTGATTAATTTCATTTGTGTTATCCTTTAAGAGTATTATAATGGCAAAGCAATTGTTAAGCAATAGAAATGCTTTAATTCGAATAAGAGGGTTACCTGAAACCCATATACTTATCAACTCTTTGGGTGACTGTTTTAGAGCACAACACACATATATGTTGCACGTAGTTACATATAGCATATCCTCTTTCACAAGGAACATTGAGATAATAAATCCAGTAATTCAATTCAAATAGTAAAATAAATGTCTATGTAATCCAGCATAGAATAAGTGCATAAATAGTAGTGATAGTAACAAATCAATTGAAAACATCCCAGCATCAACGGCTCCATAACTAAAGATTTAAACCTAAAAGATAGACCAGCAAAGGTCTGAATCTGAAGATATACAGGTTCCAAACTCCATACACAAAACCTGTCCCCTAAATTTTATCAATTCATTACGATAAGTATACATTGGATATAACGTATATACTATATAGTATATGCTATATATCATGAAGAATAGCAGAAAATGCTTGATCATCAAAAAATGAAGAGAAGAAATTTAAGAGAGCCTACCACTCGTCGTGTTTGTGCAGGAGCCTTGACTTGAGTAGTTATCATCCTCTTATCGTTCATGAAAACGGATAACTCAGCAGCCTAAGAAAGATATTAAAAAGACACAAGGATGTTAGGAAGTCAAATCCCAAAAAGCTAAAAATCACGGTCTTGATGAGACAGCATGTTCAAGAATATTACCATTGTAGATCGGAGTGTCAAAGTTTTAACACTAGCCAAGGGAAAGCCATCGTAGCCCTTGAACAAATGAGGATGAAGGCTCTTAAAACTACCCTCAGAACCTGATCAAGCAGAGAAATCACTCCAACTTATCAACAAATTGAAGGTTGAAGACCAATTCTGAATTCTTCACACACACACACACACACACACACACACACATATATATATATATATATTATAAATTCCAAATGAAAAAAAAAAAACTGTGTTGAAAGAGATTACCATTTGATAGAGCAGTGGAATAGCTCCTGCAGCAACCAAGCCTGAAAGTTCAAACAAACCTTAATCATAGTAAGCGAAATTTTGCAGAATGACATTCATTTCAAACTGAAAACATCAGGAAATGATGAAATTCAAAGGTGTCAAGAAGAAGAAGATGCATTTTCTCAGAAAGAGCGAGCAAGGCAATGCAACTCACAGATGCGATGAAGATTCTCCAATCTGAGATGAACGATAGAGTGTGCGACCTAAGTGTAAGCGTTTGAAAGGCATCATCTTCAACTTCGACGCAGAAACATTGCAATTACAACTCTCTGATCGATTATTATTGATTCGATTGAACCAAAACAGAGACACAACACAGGTTTCTGGTTTCTGGTTTCCAAGGGTTTAAGCCTTCAACTTCATTAGAAAATAGAAATGCAATCGAGTTCGGCCTGAAAAACATTAGGCCCATTGGTCCTCGGTTTGGGCCTGTCCAGGTCATCTTCAAACGTGAAATATTTTCCACAAAATTATTTGTGAATAAATTAAGGGTTTGTTTTTTCTGATGTTACTTTAGATAACTTTATCTAATGTTCATCAAAATAACGTCGTTTTGGGACGGAAATTATGGTATTTTGGTAATTTTAATTTATTTCAGAGTTATAATAGTCTTTATCACTCTAATTTTTTTAATTTTTCAACCCCAAAACGACGTCGTTTCGATGAACATTAGATAAAGTTATCTAAAGTAACATCGGAAACTTTTTTCCCATAAATTAAACTTATAAATTAAGGATTCACTTTGTTACTTTCTCCAAAAATAAAATAATATCGCACTTTTGTTTTTAAAATTACACATTGAGATTGTGTGATAAAAATTTTATAATTTAGGGTTTAATATTTCTTATGCAAACTGTAAAATGGAGAAAGAAATCATTTTATCTCTTGTATATATATGAAAGTGGATGGAGTCTTTGAGGATAGAAAAAAAAATGAAAAAAATTGTGCCTTACCTACTTCTTTGTAATCACAACAAATAAGGTTATCTCTAATTTGCTGGAATGTAACTTTTATAAATTTATAACTTCTAATATTGAAAACGTTCTCTATTACTATGCATATGAGCCTCTTTGATACATCCAAAATATAATTAATAACCTTCGGTTAAATCTCTTTGACAGTGTAATTGACATTTTATGCTGCTGATTTAGCATATTAAAACTCAATAAACTCACGAGTAGCCAAAACAAATAAATAAAAGGTTCATGTTGTAGCAGCCTTATATGCATGAATCATGATCTGTCTTTTCACTCTCGTGTTGCAGCTGTGCAAGTTAAGATAAATATAGTGATAAAAAACTGGTCATTTCATCAAATATGAGCCCCACCATTATACTTCTCTTTGGGCCCGTTTGGTAGCCGAATTATTTGTGGTTTCATGGAATTCTTTGTTTGGGTAAACTGAAATGCAACGGTTGGTTGAGGAAAAAATGAGTTTATCCCCATAAAGTTGAAATGTTAGGATTTGCAAATTCAACGTAATTTTTTTTGAAATCTCAACCAAAAGATTCCACAGATTACATCGATTTGTTTCTTTCTCGAAGAAATGAAACATTAATCACGAACCAGAAACAAAAATAAGCTTTGTGGCTTTGTACTTGCATTGCAGTATCTGAGGTAAGAACATTGGAGCCTCATTACTCATAAGGGTTACTTTCATAAATTCATCGTATATTTTCAATAATATTTTACCATTAACTAAATATAAATTCAGAAAAATTAAGTTAATATTCTCGATAATATTTTGACCTATCAAATAATTTTTTATTAACATTCTCATAAACTTACTTTTTCATTATATTTTTTAAAATCATAATTTTCGAGTAAAAAAAAATTTCTCAGAGATAACTTCTGTGGAAGCATCTTTTATTGAAGCGTTAGAGTCACATTATGATGAAGAGACATCCTTAAGTGAATCACCATCTCCAAAAGTGATGCAAAAAATAAGTACATCACCATTTGTTATGATCACTGTTATAAAAAATAAGATGAAAAAAATAGAACTCTAGACATTGGAGGAAATGTATTTTTTTTTTTTTTTAAACTCTACCATAACACAAATAAGCCTACAAAATGAAAAAATATAGGAGTAGAATATTATAACAACCAATTAGGGTTACTACCAATATTATTATCAATCAATTTTATCGTTAGATCGATTATATTAATTCAACGATTATATTTATTTCCAGCTTTGTATGATTATAATTTCTTATATTTAATTATAATTTCTTATATTTAATCACATTAAATATGAGAAGTTATAATCATACAAAGGTGAAAATAAATATAAAATATTAAATATGAGAAATCATAATCATACAAAGATGGAAATAAATATAACTGTTGGATCAATATAATTGATCTAACGGTAAAATTGATTGGTAATAAAATTGATAGTAACCCTAATTGGTTGTTACAATATCCTACCCAAAAACATATAACGTATATTACACTAATAAAAAAAAAGGAAAAACTATTGGAAAGTACCTTTATTTTCTATACATCCGTCAATTTCTATATAGCTTAATTTTTATTTTATTATTTTTTATAAATGAATGGCCCCACCTATGATTGTGTTTATAATAAGAGAGAATTACTCTCCAACAATGTGAAATTAATAAAACCTTAAAAAACACCTTTATCAATAAATGACGGAAAAAGTGTGTATCATGATGTAAAATTGTGTCATTTTAAGCGAGAGAAAGAGATAGATAAAAGAGGAGGGAGAGTTGACAAAAAAATAAAAATGTGGATCCCACCTCTTTGTGATAGTGAAAAGATATAAGTTGTGTCGTTTGAAAGAATAAACATTTTTTCAAATGATCCATTATATCATCAATAAAAAACTCTTTAATCCACTCATTACATCACACACGTTAAACAACTATTGACTGACACTAGAAAATTTTAATGCACTCATTGAATCACACGGATTAAACAACTATTTAACTTCATAACTGACACTATTGAGAATGAAAATTCTTCAACTTTATAACCTGCACCATTGAAGACTAGGAATAAGTGTCATGGCTCCTAAGAATGTTGTTGCTTTTCAAGTTGTCTTATTTTGCATCTATTTTGTTGTGGCAAATTCGGTTGGTTTCAGATACCCAGCAGTTTTCAACTTTGGTGATTCAAACTCGGACACAGGTGAACTTGTTGCAGGGATGGGCATTCAACTCGCGCCACCTAATGGCCACAATTACTTCAAAACTCCATCTGGGAGGTCCTGCAATGGCCGTCTCATAGTGGACTTCTTGCGTAAATTTCTAATCCTTTCATGAAATTTTCTGTTAGTATTTTAATTAATTAATATTGCTAGAGGGTGAGCTTGGAACAGCGTTAAGTTTGCTTTTTGTGACCGGAAAATCACTGGTTCAAAATTACGAATTAGTCTATTTGTAAGAAATGTACGAGTAAGGCCGCGTATAATTGAGCTTATTTATGTTAGACATTACCTTCAAACGTTAAGTTTTTGGGTTGAATTAACTCTTTATTTGAATTTGTTAAGATATATAAAACCATTAATGTAGCCTCACACAGTAGCAATAGCTTAAGCTTTTTGGTTGAATTAGTTTTTTATATGGTATCAGAGCCAGGTGTCCAGGGTTCGATCCTCACCGCCCCCACTTTCTTTCTAGTGGAATTTCTTTCTTCGGTAGGTGGGCTTGTGCATTGTCCACCCTTCAAGCTCAGTGGGCTCTCGTGTGAGAGGGCGTATTGTTTTGAGATATATAAAACCATTAATGTAGCCTCACCCAATAGCTTAAGCTTTTGGGTGGTGACCTCAAAGTTCTTAACATGGTATCAGAGCCCCGCCGCCCCCCACTTTCTCTTGTGACGTTTCTTAGCACAGGTAGGATGGGCATGTTGCATTATCCACTCTTCAAGCCCAATGGGCTCTCGTGTGAGGGGACGTGTTGAGATATATAGTCCCTATAGTCCCACATTGGTTGTATGTGCAACTAATGTGAAGTTTATAAGGCTTTGGACACTCTCACCATTTGAGCTAGCTTTTTAGGATGGTGCATCCCAAAGTTCTTTACAGAATTAAATTGGTTATTTACAAATATTCACCAACACATGTATCCATAGCATTCTCTTGATAGTTCCATATGTGATTTTGATTGATTATTGCAGTGGAAGCCATGGACTTGCCATTCTTAAGTGCCTATTTGGATTCATTGGGTTTGCCAAATTTTCAGCAAGGATGCAACTTTGCAGCAGCAGCTTCAACTATCCTTCCAGCCACTGCAACATCCTTCTGCCCATTCAGCTTTGGGGTTCAGGTATCTCAGTTTCTGCGATTCAAAGCTCGGGCTCTTGAATTGCTTGCAGTTGAAGGTATATGATAAATTAATCAAATCTCTTCTCATTAGTTCAGTTTCAAAAAAAAGTTTGCTGTTTTTCTCATTCATTCATGTGAAGGAAAATTATCACAATAATGTTTCAGGCGAGAAATTTGATAAATACGTCCCAAGTGAAGATTATTTCGAGAAGGGGTTATACATGTTTGACATTGGCCAGAACGATCTTGTTGGTGCATTTTATTCAAAAAGTTTGGACCAAATACTTACCTCAATTCCAACAATTCTATTGGAATTGGAATCTGGAATAAACGTAGGTGACATTATGTCTAACAAAATAACAATGAATTGGTACAATTTTTATTCGAAATATTTTATACAAAAATTTCTTGAATTCCAAACTATAAAAGCAGTTTTACTGAAATTAACATAAACTCTTTGATTTGTGTGCTAGAAACTGTATGACCATGGGGCTAGATATTTCTGGATACATAACACAGGTCCATTCGGCTGCTTGGCTAACGTCATTGCCAAATTTGGCACTGATCCATCAAAGCTTGATGAACTAGGATGTGTTAGTTCACATAACCAAGTAGCTAAAACCTTCAATCTACAGCTTCAAGCTTTCTGTAGTAAATTGCAGGGCCAGTATCCAGATGTAAATGTTACATATGTTGACATCTTTACCATAAAATCAGACCTCATTGCAAACTATTCTAAATATGGTGAGTCTAACTTGCAAAAACTTATTTTTGCCTCATTTTAATTCCCCTTATTTTATTGATTTTGCCTTATTTTTCTGGATAAGTACTGTTTCCAAGAGTTTTAGATGTTAATTTCTGTAGATTTTGAATTCCTCAGATCATATGCCTTTGGCATCCAGTGTCCTGCAGATTATGTCGTAGCAACTTGTTTTATTGGTACTTCTTATTACACTCCATTCAGCACTAATCACCTTGACATGATTTGGCAATGGAAGAATATAAAAGAATGACTTCCTCCTATATTGCATCATACTTCAGGGAAATTCATTTTATTTATCTTTCTAGCTTTGTTTTATCTGGAGCCTCCTTTCCCTTTTACCCTGTAATTAAATTATTGTGATTGCAGTAAAACTTTCCAGTTATCCTATACATTTACAATCATAATAATTAAATCATTTTAGCAATAAATTTTAGTGATTATTTGTTTACAGGGTTTGAACAACCTATTATGGCTTGCTGTGGATATGGAGGTTCACCATTGAACTATGACAGTCGAGTTTCTTGTGGGCAAACAAAGATCTTCAATGGGACCACAATTACAGCAAAAGGTTGCAATGACAGCACTGTGTATGTAAACTGGGACGGGATTCATTACACTGAGGCTGCAAATCAATATGTCGCATCACAAATTCTCACTGGAAATTACTCCTCCAATCCTTTCTTAGACAAAATGCCCTTACTCAAGTTCTAAATCCCAGTCTGTTTATTGCTAAAATAATTTGACTCGTTCTGTACTGGTGTAGTGAAAGCAACAGCTGATTGTAACCTTGAATTCAAGTCAAGCTCTTACAAATGAATATGATTTAAGATTGTATAAATTGACTTTGTGACATGGTAAGTGTGATTATGTTCACAGATTTTAATCTGATACATCAGCATGCTTTACCATTAGTTAGACTTTTTCACAAAGGAAGGGTAATCCATCAATAAAAGACTCCATTGGTGACACATGGTTCATTGCATGGGGTATATGGTGTCCAAGTAACAATGTTACAACTTACAAGAGGGCTTTCAGCTATTTAATCATATGGTAAAAGGATATTCCGCAAATTCTTCTGTGATGTTACATTTATATCTTTCTATTGAAAAAGGTTTTCAGTATATTGATTTGAATAATTACATGAGGAATGAGGAGTATTTATACAAGAAAAATAGCTAAGTATGACTCAGCTATGACTCACCAAACCTAATCACAATCATAAGAATGACTTAGTTATGACTCACTAAACCTAATCACAATTAATTCTAATCAATTACAATTAATCCTAATTAATAGGAAATAAAAAACAATCAATCCTAATTAATCTTAATTATTCCTAATTAATAGGAAATAAAAACGGAAAAATATTTGAATTTGAATTCTGATTTTCTACACTCTCCCTCAAGTTGGGAGGTAAATGTTGATCATTCCCAACTTGCCAATCAGGTCTTCAAAGGTTGGCCAGTGTAGGCCCTTAGTGAGAATATCTGCAATCTGCTCTTTGGTAGGAATATACACCATACATACACTTCCATCATCTATTTTTTCTTTGATAAAGTGGCGATCAACCTCCACATATTTTGTTCTGTCATGGTGAACTGGATTTTGAGCAATACTGACAGCAGCCTTATTATCACAATACACTCTGACAGGTAGGGAAAAAGAGATCTTCAATTCCTCAAGGAGTCTTCTTAACCAAATTCCTTCACAAATACCATGGGCTAGAGCCCGAAATTCTGCTTCTGCACTGCTCCGGGCAACAACTGTTTGTTTCTTACTTCTCCAGGTCACAAGATTTCCGCAAATATAGGTGCAATATCCTGAAGTGGATCTTCGGTCCAATGCAGAGCCAGCCCAATCTGCATCTGTATATATTTCAATCATCCTCTTGTGTCCCCTTTTAAAGAACAATCCTCGTCCAGGGGTGTTTTTGAGGTACTTCAGAATTCTATAAACTGCACTCATGTGTTTTTCCTTAGGAGAATGCATGAATTGAATAACCATGCTAATTGCAAATGCAATATCAGGCCGAGTGTGAGATAAGTAGATCAACTTCCCCACCAATCTCTAATACTGCTCTTTGTCAACTTCTTTCCCATCTTCGATTCCTAATTTAATATTGGGTTCAACTGGAGTCTCTGCTGGCTTGCACCCAAGCATTCCTGTTTCTTGTAACAGGTCTAGAATATATTTCTTCTGAGTTAAAGAAATTCCTGCCTTACTTCGAGCAACTTCCATGCCTAGAAAATATTTGAGAGATCCAAGATCCTTCAGTTCAAACTGATTAGATAAATATTTCTTCAAAGAGCTTATCTCCTCACAATCATTACCTGTGACAATTATGTCATTAACATAAACAATGAGAATAGCAATTTTACCACCATTAGAGTGTTTTAAAAATAAAGTGTGATCATTCTGAGCTTGGAGGAATCCTCTTCCCTTAACAGCTTGAGTAAACTTCTCAAACCACTCTCTAGGAGATTGTTTAAGACCATAGAGAGACTTTTTCAACTTGCATACTGAATCGTCTCATTTTTCAAAACCAAGTGGTGGATCCATATAAACTTCTTCATGTAGATCACCATTCAAGAAAGCATTATTTACATCTAATTGTTGCAAGGGCCAACCAAGATTTGCAGCAAGTGATAAAAGAACTCGGATAGTGTTAAGCTTGGCAACAGGGGCAAATGTCTCTTGATAGTCTATCCCATAAGTTTGAGTGAATCCCTTAGCAACCAGTCTGGCCTTATACTTGTTGATGTTGTTATCTGCATTAAACTTTATTGTGAACACCCACTTGCAACCTACTGTTTTCTTTCCTCTGGGTAATGCTACAGACTCCCAAGTTCCATTTTTGTTGAGTGCATCCATTTCTTCAAAGACTGCATTCCTCCATTTTGGATCATCAAGTGCTTCTTGGATATTTTTTGGTATTTTTGTACTGTCTAACATAGTGTTGAAAGCACGAAAACCTGGGGACAACTTTTCATATGTGATATGATGAGAAATAGGATGAGCAGTACAAGATCTAGTACCTTTTCGGAGAGCAATAGGCACATCTAGGTTGGCTGTATCAGTGTTGCTGGAACTAAGACTCGAGTCAGAATCCTGGCAGTCTAGAGGCTCCTGAGGTGATTCTCGCCTGCTGTAAAACTTTCCCCATTTCCCGGGAGGATCTCCATTATCTGACACATTAACTCCCCCTGTCTTTTTCATAATGACTCCCCCTGTCTCCAACGGCAAAGGCAAAACAACAGAATCATTTGGTTTTCAAGACTTATCTTCATCAACCCCAATAGACTCCCCCTGAAGAGAAGTCGAAGGAAAAAAAGATTGTCTCTCATCAAATGTGACATCCATAGAAACAAAGATCTTACGAAGTGAAGATGAGTAACACTTGTAGCCCTTTTGGTTAGGAGGATATCCTATGAAGACACATTTAATGGACTTAGGATCGAGCTTGGACCTTTGATGGGAAGGAACATGTACAAACTCCACACAGCCAAACAACTTGGGAGGAAGGGAAGAATGACCCCGAAAAGAAGGAAAGGTGTGGGTAAGACAAGATAAAGGAGATTGAAAATTTAGGACACGAGAAGGCATCCGATTGATGAGGTATGCTGCAGTCAAGACAGCTTCCCCCCACAAATATTTAGGGACATGCATGGTAAACATAAGAGCTCGAGCAACTTCAAGGAGATGTCTATTTTTTCTTTCAGCCATCCCATTTTGTTGAGGGGTGTTAGGACAAGAACTTTGATGAAGAATACCATGCTGGCTGAGATAGTTTCCAAGAACAGAATTAAAATATTCAGTACCATTGTCAGTTCGAAGAATTTGGATAGAGGTCTGGAACTGAGTTTGAACCATAGCATGAAAGTTTTTAAAAATGGATGCATCGTCAGACTTATCATTTAGAAGGTATACCCAACATACCCTAGAGTGATCATCTATGAAAGTTATAAACCAACGAGCACCAGAGATATTTTTTTCACGGGATGGACCCCATATATCACTATGAATCAAGGTAAATGGAGAAGAATCATGATGGACTCTAGGAGGATAAGAAACACGAGAATGTTTTGCAAGCTGACAAATATCACAAGAAAAAGAACTGGGATTTTTATTGATAAATAAGCTTGGGAACAACTTCTGAAGATAAATGAAATTTGGGTATCCTAACCGACGATGCCACAACAAAACATCATTACAATCACCAGACAAACAAACCGAGTGGTTCACAAATTTTTTTCCTTCACAAGAATCTTTTTCTAAATAATAAAGTCTTTCTTCCTCTCTAGCACTGCCAATCATCAGCCCCGAGTCCTGTTCCTGGAAAACACAAGCATTGACAGAAAACTTGGCAACACAATGTAACTCAGACGTAAGTTTACTGATAGAGATAAGGTTACAAGTAAGAGAGGGAACATGAAGGACTGAGTTCAAAGTAATGTGTTCAGAAAGTTTAATGGATCCTTTTCCAGCAATAGTAGAGAAGCTGCCATCTGCTGTTCTTATTCGTGATTGTTGATAGTAAGGGGTATAAGAACAAAATAAGGTTGCATTACCTGTCATATGATCTGAAGCCCCTGAATCAAGAATCCATCGACTACTATTATCAACATGGAACGCTATACCTTGTTGAGCAACATTGCTGGATGGAAATTTACTTTTAATCAACATGGCTGCGTGTGGTAACGCGTAGGGCGGACGCTCCGTCCTTTCTCTAGCGCGTGGCTCAGCAGAATCCGATGGTCCTTCTTGAAACTTGTAGATCGGCTCCTTCTGTTTCGAATGGTGCGGATCTTGGCCGGAAATGTCGTCGGAAAAATTTTCCGATAGCTGCTGACGGTGGCTGACGGCGATGGAAAGCTGGGATTTTGCCTTCTATAGTGATTGGTAGCCTTACTTTGCTCTTGGGACTTTGTAGGAAGGGAAAATAACCTTAATAATGGTTGGAGGTTGAGATTTCCGGCGTTGTGCCGCCGGTTTGACGGTGGTTGTGGTGGCTGAGTTTTCTCATGACCAATCTGCTCTGATACCATATTGAAAAAGGTTTTCAGTATATTGATTTGAATAATTACATGAGGAATGAGGAGTATTTATACAAGAAAAAATGGAATAGGATATTGTGACACCCAAGTTATGTTACACCCATATGACACCCAGTCAATCTCACCGTTAGATCGTTTATGTTGATCCAACGGTTATATTTATTTTCATCTTTGTATGGTCATGATTTCCCAAATTTAATATTTTATATTTATTTCTACCTTTGTATGGTTATGATTTCCCATATTTAATGCTTTCACTTTAAATTTGGGAAATCATGACCATACAAAGATGGAAATAAATATAACCGTTGGATCAACATAAGTGATCTAACGGTGAGATTGACTGGGTGTCACATGGGTGTAACATAACTTGGGTGTCACAATATCCTATCCCAGAAAAATAGCTAAGCATGACTCAGCTATGACTCACCAAACCTAATCACAATATGACTCACTAAACCTAATCACAATTAATTCTAATCAATTACAATTAATCCTAATTAATAGGAAATAAAAAACAATCAATCCTAATTAATCTTAATTATTCCTAATTAATAGAAAATAAAAACGAAAAAATATTTGAATTTGAATTCTGATTTTCTACACTTTCTTTCTTATTTGTATCTTTTACTATTGGCACAAGAGAATATGTTACAG